CGGCGGAGGGGGTGTGGCTCCGGCCTGCCCTGAGCGACCGAGGGCCCCGGTGTAGCCCGCGTCCCGCCGACGGGAATCTCACCTCGGCCCGGCCCATGTGCCACGGAGAGACACATCTTCTCCTCCCAGGACTTTACGACCAGCCTCACAGTCATGCTCGCCCGGGATTGCTGGGAGACAAAGGGAGAGGGCCGCGGTCACGGGCCTGGCTCCACAAAGGCTGGGGACCCGTAGGCCCCGGCAAATCGCCAGGCCCCATAGACCCTGCCCCGGCCCCCTCACACCAGGGGGGCACCTCTGAATGGGATCCACACAGGCCCCCAGGCTGGGCGGGGAGCCCCTAAGCTAGCCAAGGGGAGATGCCAAGGAGAGGGGCCCCGCCCCCGCTAGACTTTAGGCACTTAACTCTGGGCGGAGAGGAGCCCGTCTTGGCGAATGTTGCACAGCCGGGAACGCCGCCCTGCAGCTGGGGCCTCCGCTATTTCTCACCCCAATGGCTGAGGGGCCTGGCGGAGGCGAGCGCTCTAACCACTGGGCTCACTTGCCTTTTCCCGGGCCCTCACTGTGCAGGGAGGTCGGAGTTCTCTGAGGAGCTACGAGATGAGGATGTCGGCTGTCACGGACGCTGCTCAGTGAGCAGGCTGGCGCTGGCGCTGGGTGAGGGCTGCGAGGGGCTGGCTGTAAGGGAAGGGTCACAGGTCCGTGTGCGACTCCCATCGGTCACCGGCCGAAGGACCCTGCGCTCAGCTACACACGCAGGGCGAGGGGAGGCAGTGAGTGCGGGGCCTCGGGGAAGGAGGGCTGGCGACGGACAGTCCTTAATTCCAATTGGCGCCTTCAGTCCCGTTGGTTTGGGTGGCAAGAGAGCGGAGTCTACGGGACTGTCCCGGGTAAGACTCACACAGTGCTCCAGGGACTCACAGTTGTTACTGGCTTTGGGAAAGCTGAGCACAGAGCACTGGGACCTCGCAGGGCCATCGAGTCCCTCCCCGGCCCTCACGGCAGAACCAAGCACCAGCTAGTGCATCCCTGGCAGGCGTCTGTCCAACCTGCTCTTCAATATCTCCAGGGATGGGGATTCCACAACCCCCCTCGGCAACTTATCCCAGCGTGTCACCCCCCGACAGGCAGGAACTTTTTCCTAATGTCCAACCTCAACCTCCCTGGCTGCAGTTTAAGCCCATTGCTTCTTGTTCTGTCCTCAGAGGCCGAGGGGAACAAGTTCTCTCCCTCCTCCCTGTGACACCCTTTGAGATACCTGAAAACAGCTTCATGGCCCCTCAGTCTTCTCCTCTCTAAACTAAACCAGCCCGATTCTTTCAGTCTTCCCCCCTAGCTCCTGTTCTCTCGACCTTTCACCATCCTTGTTGCTCTTCTCTGGACCCTCTCCAATTTCTCCACATTTTTCTTGAAATGTCGTGCCCAGAACTGGACACAGGACTCCAGCTGAGACCTAGTCGAAATGCACAAGGACGCAAGTGACGGAGCCATTCATAAAAAGGGGTGTGAACCCCACTAGCCGAATGAATGTGAACACCAGTGAACGGTCACTGGACGCCTGGTACATGGCTAGCAAATGTCCAGCGGGCAGAGAGCTTGTTCTGAGCTTCCGCCAGGAGAGCAGGACCTGCTTGTGAGCGAGTCTCTAGCCAGGAAAAGGGACACGTGCACAGAGGGTTTGAGCCAGACCGAAGCGTTTCGCCAGCTGTCAGAGCAGGAAGAGAACTGGAAGGTCGAAGGCGTGATCCCAGCTCGTAGGGTTGAGAGCATCGCCCGCCTGTGATACTGACAGTATTAAAGTCAGGGACTACCCTGCAAATGAGCGCGATTTTATTACCACCCCCTCCACCGCTAAAGTCAGCTAATGCTCCACATACCCCCGCCTGCAAGTTTCCAGCTCTTGGAATCTGGAATCCCCAGAAGCTCCTATATACTTAGCGCACTTGTGTGCACGCACACACGCATGCGCGCACACACACACACGAACACACGCACGCACACGCACATGCACACACACAGCACGCACACGCACACGCACGCGCACACACACACACGAACACACGCACGCACACGCACATGCACACACACACACGAACACACACGCGCGTGCACACAAAGTGAGACATCAGCCTGTAGCATTTCTCCTGTCTGCAGCCGGGAACATTTCCGTGATTCATTCTCGTTTGCACAATTCCTGATTCAGACACACGAGCAAAGCTGAAATCCCTTGAGCCAGCAATACCTCAGGGCTGCCGCCTCGGTTTGGAACAAGCGAGAGCTTTTCCTGTCGCCTCCGCAGCTCTGCCCAGCTCCTGGGGCATCTTCCCGGGCTCCTGGAGGGCGGGCGGCGCAGGGACCCATTTATAGGCGGTGTCTGGCGTGTTCCGGGTTTACTCCGAATCGGGTCACCGCGCGTGCAGGACGACAAACCTGTTCTGCCTCATTTTGCGGCTCTGCTGCTGAGCAGGGGTGGGAGGGGAGAAGCAGGATTCATCGGGGGGCTGGCTGGCCAGCCGGCTCGCTCTGAAACGCTCCAGGTGTCAGAACTGAATTTGTGTCAGTGCTTAAAAAAACAGCAAGCAAATGGTCTGGTAGCACTTGCTAGACGAACAAAACATGGAGACGGGATCAGGAGCTTTTATACGCACAGCCACTTCTCCCGATGCCCGGCGTTATGACTAGGGATAAGAGAACTCGAAATAAATAGGAGAAGGGAAGGGGGGGGGGGGGGGTGGTGCGGTTCCCCCTCCCTCTAAACCTAAAGTATCAGGAGATGCTAAACCTGAGTAGACAACCATCCCAGTCAGTGGCTAGCTTGCTGAGCAGGAAGGAACCATTCAGAGAGCTGTTAGCACCTTCAGTGATAAAGGGCCCACCACCCCATATCTCCATTAAGTCCATTAGTAATTGAATTGAATTTGCATATGTATTGTAATTCCAAGCTTTCCCTGTGTATTTGGCTTGAGAAGCTGGCCTGTGACAAGACCGCCACCTTCAGATCTGCGAGATTATGGTTAGGTAAACAGAAATGGTCTGCCACTGGCTTCTGAGGATTTTCTTTACGTATATCCGATTTGTGTCCATTGATTCTTTCCCGTAGAGAACATCCAGTTTAACATATATAAATATGTAGCTGAGGGGCACTGTTAGCATTTAATAGTGTAGATCAAATTTCTAGATCAGTGAATTCATCACTGGAGCAAACAACACAAGCCACAAAATCAAAGGATTATTTGACTAAATGAGCAAAAAAAGTTTCTCAATACAAACTTATGAGAGTGATACATGATTATATTGAAATGTTAGACAATGTGCATAAATCTCTCCCTTTTGACCCCTCAAGAACAATTCTTGAGTGGGTCACACTTTATATAACTGTATATAATGGTACTATACTGAGAAACAATTTGAGCTTAAGTTGTAATTTATTAAAGAGGATGTTAAACAATATTTTGATGTGTTATGACAATTAGAATTAAAAAGCACTAAGAAGTCCGAGTGACTATCCCTTAAAAAAATCATACCATTAATGAATACTTATGTTTAGCTTTATGTGAAATTTTGAGGATTTTACATAATTGTTGTTGTAAAATTGCTAAACTGTGTGTTCAAATTTGGACATCCATGGCATTAGTCAGTTGGCATCTTTTTTGTTCAACTAAATCCTAATGATAAACCATGGTTAATAACATCAGCTACTATATTAACATTTATCTTTTGGTACTGAAAATGTAGTCCCATCATACATGCATTGCTGCACAGGGAGTTTAAAGATTCCTATTTTGCCATACAATGGCTTAATTCAGAATTAATCATAGAATCATAGGACTGGAAGGGACCTCGAGAGGTCATCGAGTCCAGCCCCCTGCCCTCAAGGCAGGACCAAGCTCCGTCTACACCATCCCTGACAGATGTCTATCTAACCTGTTCTTAAATATCTCCAGAGAGGGAGATTCCACCACCTCCCTTGGCAATTTATTCCAATATTTGACCACCCTGACAGTTAGGAATGTTTTCCTAATGTCCAATCTAAACCTCCCCTGCTACAATTTAAGCCCATTACTCCTTGTCTTGTCCTCAGAAACCAAGAGGAACAAATTT